AGAATAGAAAATAAGGCTCTTGAATTTGTTACAATTTCAAGGTAACATGATTCAGATTTCCAGTTTATCTATAATTTTTCTGTCCTGATTAAGATACATCGATTATTTCAGCATCCTGTTTGTTATGAGACTGAAATTGTGTTTATTTATTTATGTAATCTGTAGAAAATTGTAATCCAACTTTTTTTACTTTACTTTTCGTTTTTAATCATTTTACTATTTTTTCTCTAAATGTACTGTTGTGTTTGTTCATATATTTTGTTACACATTGAAATGAATCAAGCATTATACATTACATGAGGCCATTTTTGTGCATATTATGTTTGCATTAAAATGCCTCAAAATCCTGGTATATTTACAGCACTAAATATAAATATGAACCTGAAACAGTCACAGACAAAAATCCTACCTGCAGGTTGTCACATGACAAAACACATTCAGTGATATCAAAAGTCGCTAATAAAAGCCGCTGCACAAACACGAAACTGATTGAAAGTAAAAATCAAACACAAAAGTTAAAAAAAAAAAAAACATAACAGCAGCACAAAGACAAAGTAACAGGAGTAATTAGTTACTGATTACTTCTCCAAGAGAGTATGTTACTTTTCTGATTACTTGTTTTCAAAAGTAATTACTTACCTTATTACTTAGTTACTTTTTAAAAACATGATATGCAACCTGAATATGTAATAAAACAACAGACCTTTCAGCCCAAATCTAGTTTTTTCTGCATAATCCATTATATAAAATTGAATCAAATGAAAACATATCTTTTTTAAAATTGTTTTATGAGTTTTAATCTTTTAATTTTATGCACATTGCATTAAACAAAAATGAAATTATATGCAGCTGTCTTTGACTTGCAGAAATTATTTAACATTTAAACATATTTTCTGCATATTTCAGCATATAAAATAAAGTAGAAGAAAGAAAGAAGTTTTCTTCCCACACAGATTAACAGCGGACGCTAATGTTTTTGCCACTTTTACAGAATCAAACTCAAAGTAATGTCAGTACTTCCAAGCTTTAAACGCTGCATGGTCGTACTCTCTCCCGCACTCCATGTTGTTCATTGTTAATCTGCACACGTCTGTTGCTGCC